CGGTGATGCGGACAAAGCCAACGCTAGGGCTTATATGCCTTTGCTCTCAGTAGGAATGTGAGTTTGGGTTTGACTATTTCGGGTAAGTACATGTTTGGGGGCCTGAGCAAGCTCTGCTTGACTTGGTTCCCGCACTCTTATCTCAAGGAAAGTAGTTCCGCTGGTTCTAGTATACTACTTTTGAAAGTGTTATGCTAGGGGTGCTAATTCTAGTAACCATACTTGCTAAGACCAGTAGGTGGTAGACTACCATGCGGCCTGTGCGTACATGAATGATATTTTAGAATAGTGTGCAGTCATAGACCTATAAGGGGATATAAGTAGGCTCAAGGTTAGAGAAAGGTATATGTATAAAGAGCAGAGGATCTGTCATGCATTTAGGTGGTAACAGGGTGACGTGTGCCAATTTTCAGGATACTCCTGTTAGAAGTGCTGTGCCTAGGCTAAAAGTGCTGGTTATAGTAATCAAACTTGCTAAAGCCAGTAGGTAGCAAGCTTCAGTACGGCCTGCACATGCATGTAGAAAATGTTAACCACGTACTCAGCCGTAACCTATTTGGAATTTTAGTAAACAGAAGGGTTTAAGAGCGTGCATTTAATAATAGCTAAATATCAACTACCGCTTTGCGCTCACTAATTTTGGAGTTTTACGACATCTGCAATGTCTAGTTTTAGCTCATTAATTGCAGCATGTCATCTGTTTAGTGGGAAGCAAGATTATCCAGCAGTCAGCTAGTCATGGAGGCTTAGTAAATTCCTTTATCAGTACTAATAGTTCAGAAATATGACCTACGTCCTATTTTATACCAGGTGGGAATATGTGTATATCAGCTGAGGTGATTCTGCCTCATCCGGCTGGTAAGGTTTTTAACTAGCTTCACGTTGTTACTGCTACAACTCGTGCTTCTACTGCTAGTTCTTTATACTGATAGTACTGATAGCGGCCGTGTTTTTTCTATTTAACTGATAGTGGGATAGTGCATGTACCTTTAAAAGTAGGATTGATGAATACAGTAGAGAGTGCACACTACAAGTATTAGCCTAAAGGACAGCAGTAGGCCAATACAGTATCAGGTAGGTACAGTAGGACAGTCTAAGTCAGTGCAACAGGA